TACCCATTAAATAAAGTTGGTTAAATTTAATTTGAACAGTAATAAGTACTATTTAAAACATGAGCAGCAGTGTTTTATCAGATATAAAGATAGGAGGCGAAGCCGAGTATATTTAGGTCTGATAAAACACGTACTGCGAATGTTTTAAATTGCTTCAAAAACGATCGATATAGTAGGTTCATTGGCGAAGTAATTTTCAAATAATACGTTGTGTAAGTCGAGAAAATGAAAGTTAAAGTTTAATATGTAAATCAAGGGAAATCTCTATCACATATAAAGATACGACACGCTTATGATTTTTCTTTGTGTTTTGATCATGAATTATTACTGAGTTTTTGAAAGTGTTATAAAACTTCACGACGAACGCCCGTATTCAAAAAGCTCACTCACACTCAATGAGTGGAAGTTCAATCTGAGCTTCTCTCGAGTGTCATTGCTGTTTTTGAATAGCTGGAGGGTTAGTGTCGTACCTTACTACAGTATGTGACTATACTCGCCCTCCAGCTGTTCAAAAACAGCATTGACACTCAATAGAAGCTCAGATTGAACCTCCAGTGTGAGTGAGCTTTTAGAATACATGCGGAAGGGTCTTCGCTCAAAACGTGTTCTCCTTGTACAGTACTATTATTACTACAGGTAGTTGTATCCTCTAAGACATCCAGCCACAGCTTTCTTAGTATTGCCACTACTGTACCTACCCTGGGACAGTCTGTTCAAGGTTATAAAATGTGATATTTTCTGTGTTTAGAGATAATATCCAGGAGAATGTTGACATGATAAAATTACAACGTGAAATTAAAGAAAAAGCGAACAAGTTGCAAGTAGTGGAGGCGAAATATCTTAGTCTCAACGAGGTACATACACTACAAATTATAAAATGTGGATATAGGTGAATTTTAACCATTAATAATCGTATGGTGCTGGTATAGGTAGAGTAAAATAAAAGAGCATTTGTTACGTCTTCGTTGGTACAATAAATACATATTGTGTAAAATGTTATTTAGAATTTAACAAAGATGAAAGAAAGTCATTCTCAAGTCTTGGATAATATGGATAAACTGAATGAGAAATTGAAAGAGGTATACTTCATAAAATAATTTTTACCCCGCAAGTCACAAGTATTTTTTTATAAGAAAATAATTAAGGAGTTTACTAACATAGTGAATTGCCTTTGTTCACAACGTCTAAGTCCATGTTCTTTTATTTGTTTTCAAGTTTTTCAAAAACAAACCACAGCAGCTTATTGACCAGTTCTACACGTTCTGTACTTTATAAAGTTCAGTTTGTCTGTACTGTATAATAATAGTTTTACATACTAGAAATTTTGCTTCGTTTTTTAATCAGGAGCAAGCTAAATGTGTGATGTATCAAAATGAATTGAAAAACAGCGGTGTAGCATCAAGAACTCTTGTGGAGGTTCGTACAGTTCGCTGTTTTTCCGACTGAAACACCTCTTCATAATTAGCACCTTACTCTAGTGGTTTATTGGTTTGAATTTCATTCCAATATAGCAACAACAACTGATTGATGATCTCAAAGCAGAGCGTGAAATTTTAAAACAAGCTAACGAAAATCTTGTTAAAAGGTACAGAAAAACTATCAAATGTTATAAACAGTATTATGTAACGTTCATATGTTTACGGGGCAGGGGGGAGGGGGCTGCCCCCAGATTGTTGGGCAGACTAGCCCTGCAGTCGGGCAATATTCGCTTCACAGCCGGGGGAAATATGCTATATAATAGTCAAAAATGGAGAAAAAATATAAACGTTATAATAAATTATTATACATTGATCTATTTTCCAGCGCATTTGACTCGGACAGAGAGAGGCAACATCAAGCCCTCCAGAGACAATTAAAGGTAACTCGTATTAATCGAGTCTTTATCAATTTACTGTATATCACTGATAAAGTCATTCAATGTTTGTTTTGAGTAAAAGCTTGCATAAAATTTTTAAACCTTACCACAATATCGTCGTTGGCATTGGATTACCAAGGTAAAACAGTTTCTGGTTCTTGATACACTTAGGTTGAAATTGCAACTCTTGAATCGACAGTAAAATCAGAATTGGAAGAGAAGAACGAGATCCTGGATCAATTAATGAAAGAAAGAGGTATAAGGATAAAACAAATTTAAACATTAGCACAAAAAATCTTGAGCGGCGTGTTGGTAGCCAAGTGATCAGTGCTGGTGTCTTTCACCTGTGTGATAATGTGATATGTGATGTATGTATGTAATACTGCTGTCATTTGTAGAGTCGAATGAAGTGCTGCATCAGGAAATTCGAGATCTTAAAGTAAACCACTTTTCCTTGAAAGAGAAACATGACGAAGTTTCAGAAAAGATGAGGGTCTTCACCAAGGTTTGTTGTATAGTAATTTGTATAATTATAGGTTATCATATGAGGGGCAAGATGATATCGTCCCTCAAGCAATAAAACTGATATCGCCTCTTGTTTATTATGTACTTGTGCCTTTATCACGGTCAGAATTTATTAGAATGTTAATCATTGCTCCAATGCAACAATTATTAAAATAGCGGGACAAAAAGCGATTTCAGTTACAAAAAGCGCTATAGTGACAAAAAAACGATATCAGTGACAAAAAACGATGTCAGTGACATATCGTTTATGTTACCCTGTTATCGCCCTGATCAGGCACAATTATATGATAATTGTATTTATTAAATTTTGGTAAAGATACAGTGTCTATTAGACCGTGCATGAGTGAAAATGTTTTGATGCTTTCAGGAAAGTGCTGTGGATGTTCAGGAACTTGAAGAAGCTCTGACGTTGATAAAGGTAAAGTTTTGGTCGAAATTGATTGAAGGGAAAGGAGCAAACGCGTATAAGCAATTTAATAACGGCGTAACGTTCGCTTTTGCTAAAGACACTGATTCCTTTCTTCTCTGATCTTTATAATTTAGAGAAGAAAAGAGACTGGAAGTCAAGATCTCGATTTTTTGGAGAAAGTCGACGAAGGACTTGATAAAGGTGTGATATTGTAATGTTTATATTGCCGTATGAGCGTTGAACAGTAGTACACGATGGGTTTCATTATGTTACGTGGATATTTATTTTTATCAGATGCTCAAAAACGTATCCAAGAACTACAGATATCTCACGCTGACACAATCAACGAGCTTGAGAAGACAAGAAATATGTTGGTTCTACAACATAAGATAAATAAAGATTATCAAACTGAGGTAAAACAACGGCTGGTGGTGATGGTGGTGAACTTGGGTGTTGCTGTTCTCACTCTGAGTATATCTACACTGCATGGCCAAGCTGCAAAATTGCTTCACTGCGGTGGGAATCAGCTTGCTTGGTGTGGACACACTCAGAGTAACAACAGCAAAAAATGAATTAAAGTAACTTAATATGCTCCTATGATCAGATCGCACATCGCTAATGCATGGTCAGCTAGATATGTGCCATCGGCTCAAGTTAGTGTTGCAAAGGCTTCTCTGAATAACATTTACTTTCCGGTAAATGTACAATATGGATGGCTTTTTCTAGCAAATCTGCCTATACTTGTCCAAACTTGCAACCATAAGGTAACTTCCACTTGCCTTGCCAATTTTTACTCGCCTTGCCAATTTTCACTTGCCTTGCCAATTTTCACTTTTTGACTTGCCAATTTTCACTTGCCCTATTTGCGACTAGTCAAGGGTAAAGTTCCATCCCCCTGCTAACGATAAGACGCCGTGAGGATAAAGTTATTTTTCTCACGTGAAGGTGGAGAGAGTATCAAACAAGATGGTGGAAGACAAGAAGGAATATGATCTTCGTCTTCAGGAATATGCACAGCTCTTGGATATTAGAGCTGAGAGAATAAAGGTGATTTGCCTTTCAAGAATCTTGCTCCACTTTTGTTTTTGAAAAGATTTTTGAATCGTTTTATGAGTTAGTTATAGAAGTCATCCAAAAATTAAATGTTATTTATAATGGATTTTTTTCAGAAACTTGAATCTCAGATGCGTGATGTTGCTTATGGTACAAAACAATATAATGTTGTTACCGCGCCAGAGGTATGAACTGCTTCCATACACATCTGCCAGATCAAACTGACCTATCCCTGAAGTTGTTTAGTCTTTTTCTAGGGATAGTCACTATCCATTACTTTTTATACCTTTTAGGAAACAGAATATGATGACGAGACGAGTAGTGTTAACCTGGAGAGAGGAGAGAATCTCTTTGAGATTCATATAGGAAAGGTAAGTTTCCCTTTATTCACTTTAGAGTGTTTTCTCCTTGTACAATGTCAACGGAGTTTCTCAGTATTTGAAATTTTGGTTTTCTGGTTCAGGTGTATTTAACAGGAGAGGCTGCGTCATCTTTTGATGGATCAGAAGCGAGTAGTTTTATTACCTACGAATTTTTCGAACATGAAATCCAAGCAACTCCTGTCATGAAGGGAAACAGGTGCTGTACCTACAACTATTTTGCCTATCTTCAGGGTTATCGGTGTTGACGAACTCGGCATCTACTGCATCATGGTTGCATGTAAATGAACCTCACTGACTGGCCTTCTCTGGTCAGATTTGTTTTCAGAATCGAAGGGTGAAGAAGTCAGAACAATGAGTGAGAAGATTGCATGACATACAGTAGGATTCTCAAAACAATGAAAAGACAATGAAACATTTGAACATTGGGATCACTCGACCGTGACTGGGTGGTATGGAGAACAGTGGGATTGTCAAAACAATGGAACATTCCGATCGCGTGGATGATGCTGTTATAATGCAAAGTGTTATGCAAAAGAGCCTGTCCAGAATATTGTTATAAGTTCGTTTCTTAATCTTTTAGGATGGATTTCAACTTCACCTCACTGTATGTTGTCAAAGTGGACGACTTCTTTCTACATTATTTGCAGAAGGTAGTCTATTTATAAATGGCAAATTTCACTAAAAAGGCAATAATTATTGGTTTTCAAGCACAATTCTATCGTCGAGCACCAGGGCTTTCGTAATCTTTTTAAATAAGCGGCTGTGAAAGAAAGTAGCCGGCAGTGAACCTCATAACATCCTCCGGCTTGTTTTGAAAGCCCTGGAATACTGTACGTTATCAATAATTATTATCTTGACATAGGAATCAACAATGGTGGAACTACACAGAGCTCTCGGATCTTCATATGAAACAGTGGCAGTATGTCAACTGAAACTGAGAGAGTTACTGGAAAGATCTCATGGGCGATTACATGGGACTGCAAAACTAATAGGTTGGTAAATGAATACAGCAAACCATGTATTAATTGGGCATCCACAAATGGTAGAATAGTGTTCCAAATTAGTTACCGTTGCACTTGATTACATTTCGTTTTAGGCACACAATCTTCCAATGAAGGAACAGAGGTTGCGACAATGGAGTATTGGGTACGATTCAGAGTTCCGATGGAGCAAGCTATACGATTATTTAAGGTAATCAGTTAAATAATTATGTATAGACAGCATTTTCATACATGGGACTTGCTTAGCTGCTTAAACAGTATGTAACTGATTTGCACACAGCACATAAACAAAAGACAAGATAGATACACCCAGGAGCACCTATATGCAACTATAGCCCTCTAGCAGGAATCGAACCTGAGGTTCTAACTAACTGAGCTACATAAATTAAATGAGGCTACCTGAGGCTCTTACATAAATTTTATACATTTAGCTACAGTGTTTAGTTGTTGAAATTTTCATCTACAAAATCCTTCAACATAATAGTTCAATCGAGCAAAATACCCAAAAAATCCTAAGATAGATACTGTACATGTAACTCTTGACGAAGGGCCTTCGCTCGAAACGTCGAGTTTCTGCTTGTTTTTTAAGGTAGTAATATAATGTAACATGGCAGTGTTATACCATGTTATTTAATATATTCAATACTATATTCAATACTATATATTCAGTATACTGTTATAATTATAAGAGGAAGACCTTAGGCAACCTTCCTCGCATGAATAAGCAAATATTTAGAGAGA